CCGTCATCGAACAGCTCCCTCAGCTGGCGGTTCTTGCTCTTCTGGACGTTCTTCTGTTCGGCCCCGAGCTGCGGCGACTGTTCGGCCCGGAACGGCCCCAGCTGGCCGCGCTGTTTGGCGATCTCGCGCAGACGGGTAGCCACCCGTACCGTGGCGTTACGGGCGTGAACGAACACCATCACCTGAGGTGGAGAGGGGAGGGAGGGGTCAGAGGGGTGCAGTCGTTTGATGGGTATGGGACCTCACTGGTTGACGGCTAATGTTAAGTTGGGTGTTACGATGGACTCGACGGGACATTACCGAAGAACCGTGCTAATACCAAAGGCCATCATCCAATGAACCGCTAGTTCCTAGAACAGACCTCTTCCGAACGCCTCGAGTTCGTAATGACGAGACCATTGGACCAGAGACACGGAGAGCGCCGCCAGTCGCTCGGCCCCGGACATATTCTCTGTCCTTTCCAACCGTCTGGACCTGGCCGTGACTGGACTGACGGCTCTGACCGAGAACAAACGGTACCGCCGAGGTAGAGCTGCACGCACCTGGTGACCCTTGCTGACCATGTCGAAGGCCTTCTCGTAGCAGACCGTGTCCATGTCGTTCATCTGCTGCATGGCGTTCAGCGCCTTCACGCCGATGAAGCACTGGCCCAGCGGCACCGGACGGAACCTGTCATAGAGAGGTCAGGTCAGGGTAGAACATTCATCGGGATAGTATTCACCGTTGACGGGGAAGGGCAGGACAGGTGACAAACAACAGCGCATGAAAAGACGCGAGGGCACAGCAGCTGGGCCATTTTGAATACGTTACGGATGCATCACGTATTTCCAACCTTGCTTTTAACTATGCTTACTGGCAGTTAGCAGCCACACCTTTCTTCCTCTCATTAGGCAAGATATGACAAACGACAGTCATCAAACACATAATCCGCAGTCAGTAATTGAGCTCACCGTCCGTCGAAGAAGAACAGTCCCCTCCTGGGGTTCACTCGGAGGAACTCTGCCACGTCTATATAGTTGGGCAGGGTGGCCGACAGGCCCACGATACGGATCATGCTCTGCGACGATTCCACCTGACGACAAACGAGCATAGTAATGTCGTGAAGGGGGAGTGGCCATCTTTTCATGACCGTAAAACAGTGAGAAGCGAAATACATAACAATTGATTCATGGAACATTCATTCAGGACATACGGTTATACCTTCCAATTGCGAACAGTCGAGTTAAGGTACCTGTTACATAAACTCGCACCAAGACGTGCCTCCGGTAACTTACCTGTCGTAATGTCCTGGCCACCAGGGCCTCGACCACAGGACCGCGGTCTCCGTGCAGCAGGTGTACCTCGTCAATGATCAGCAGCTTCACCAGCTGCGTCAGCGACACGTCTCCTGCGCAGAAAACAGCTCGTCAGCACACTGCGATACGTCCGCTTACCACACATCACTAAGTGGCTGCTAGCATTCCGTAACACCGCACCGCTCCGAGCACAGCACTCTGAGTCAATCGCTTCGTACATAATATATATTTGCTAGCAATTAAACGACATTTTTTCACCAGATATTCCAGCAATTGTGGTTAAAATATCGGCAAGGCAATGGAATCCAGCTGACCTGTGCTCTTCCTGGTGAGCACGTCCCACTTTTCGGGCGTGGTGACCAGCATCTGGGTCTGCATGATCTCCTGCTTGGTGAGCTGCATGTCGCCGGTACACTCTCTGACAGTGATGCCGAGAGGCGCCAGCCGGCGGCCGAACCCGGCCGTCATCTCCGCCGCCAGCGCCTTCATCGGAGCCACGTACACAATCTGACAGAACAGAGACGGAAGGCCGTTATAGATAGTTTAGAACAGGGAAGGTGGCACGCATTCTGACATTCCAAACGGGAATGGCAGCCATACAGGCAAGATATCCTTATACTTGAATAAAAAAGTCGGCAAGCATAATTCACTATGTCGATAAAAAATTGTGACGGTATACTCGAAAGTCTCCTCTTCCTACCCCGCGCGCTGTGCGCTTCCCGACACCCATTCTCCACCTCTACCCATACACAAGTCTTTTCATCTTCCCTAAACTGACAAGGCACCCACCTTGAAGGCGTCCCTCTGTATGACGCCCTTGTCGATGTGCTGTCGAATCTGATGCACCACCGTCAGCATGGCGATGTTGGTCTTTCCGGCTCCGGTCGGAGCGCAGATCAACAGGTTCTCGTTGGTCTCGTACGCCGTTTTGAAGACGACCGACTGGATTCGATTCAGCTGCTTGATGCCACCGAACGCCTTCTGACCGATCTGAGGAGGCAGACGGGCGGGTTCGGTTAGTGTATAAACTACAAGCAAATGAAAGAAAGACCATGTCGGGAGAAAAATAAGCATTCATCATGGATAAACAAAAACTAGAACACACTGCTGGTGTCAAAAACAGTGTCATTCATCAGCCATTAGAAAAAAGAAAGGCGCCGTCGGTTACAGAGAGATGGATGGATAGATAAACGGACGGACGGACAGACGGACAGACAGACAGACAGACAGACAGACAGAAGAACGAGCGGAAAACACGCCGAGACGACGGCAGTCCTCACCTGGTCCAGCGTGCTGATCTGCACCCGCTCATCGCCGACGCCGGTGGGCGCCTGTTCGGCCACGGGGATCTCGACCGCCTGGTAGAGCTTGTGGTCGCTCCACTCGCAGCCTACGGGCAGACTGATTTTGTTGCCAGCCACGAACGCGGACGTCTGCCGCGCCTGGCTGTAGGCGTCGAACACGTACGGGAGTCGCTCGGCGAGGGACGGAGCCGCCCGCGGCCGGTCGGGGAACAGCGGCGCGCTCATGGCCTGCAGCAGCTCCATCTCACTGCCGGCACAGAGGTCAGGTCAGGTCAGGTTACGAGAGGGCAGATATTATACATTTAATGTGACGGTACACTATACGTACTCTTTCATTGCCCGCTCCCCACCCCTACCCTACTACTCTCTATCTTTATTCCCGTGCTAGTAAACTCAAGTCGCACGACAGGTGTCTCTCCATTTTCATTCGGCTAAGTGAGTGGTGCTGCACGACTAGCGTCCCCCCTGTCATACCGTTGAGCCCGCGCCAACTCCGGCTGTATGGCCGGCGCCTCGGAGTCCTGTCCGGTGGCCGTTTGTCGACCCCGCTCCCTCTGCATCCGTTTCTCCTCCCGTCGGAGCGCCTTCCTGGCCTCCACCTCGCGCTGCGACTGGACGGTGATGGACTGACCGGGCAGGTTGGCCGGCCTCTCTGAATGACGGAGAGAGGAGGTGTCAGGGTACCAGCGGGTGGTTAACGAGTCGAGTAGCGGAAAAAGATAGCAGATGAGTGGTTCTTCTGTTACTTATTAATAAGCTGCAGGAAAGATGGTTGAGCACATGCCTTATCGCCTAGTTTGCGGTCCTGTTGACTTTTTAGCGCTGACACTAGCGAGGGTGCCAGCATATGGAATGCAAAAGCTCTTGTATCCGTAACGGTCACGAAGCAACAAACTATCTAAGTAAGATTTTGATTCGCCCACCCATGGCTCTTTTCAGCTACCCGAGTACAAACAGGGCCGTCATATCAACTTACGGCCATTGACGAGCGCCGACAGTTTCTGGAACGTTCTTGGCGAGACGCTGCGCTGCGAGGCGCCCGCTGATCGGGCCTCGAGCACCTCAGAGCGGCGGGACAGCAGCGTCGACACCAGCTCGATCCGCTCGAAGCCCAACAGGTCCAGCAGCTGGGAACAGATAAGAGGCCGGGTCATCATCGATGGTGGAAATGCAAAGCAAGACAGCGTTTTGGTAGGGTCTGAATCACGCAAGCCTTAAACTTCACTCAAGGTAATGAAAAAGCACAACACAACGAAAAAACACAACGGAACACAGCATTGGATGTTGCCGATCTTTAAACTACTCGAAGAGCTCGAAGCTTACCTCGCTCTGGAGTGCGTCGTTGTCAGAGTTCGATTCGAGCAGGTTGTAGACACCGAGACTGAGGTCGTCGAGGGCGTCGCTGGGACCGGCCGCGCGGGACAGCTCTGCAGCCAGCCAGTCGGGCCCGTACGGCAGCGACTTCTTCTCCGGGGCGGCGTCGCTGCGGTACAGCATGTTGAAGGAGCTGTCGGCGCCGGCGGTGCCGTTGGGCCGGCCGCCGAGGTCGGAGAGGGTCGGCTCCTGCCACTCACACGGCTCCAGTCCGCCGAGCCGCAGTGAGGCTCCGAACTCCGCCTCCTGGCCGTCGTCGGCCGGCTGCGGCGGGCTGAGCGCGGCCGTCAGCGCGGCCGGCTCCATCTCGGTGACGGCATCCTGGACGGCCTGCAGCAGCTGCTGGCCGACGGCGGCCGTCACGGCCGGCAGCGCGGCCTCCAGCTGGTGTCGCAGCGGCGCCGTCAGCCGCTCGGCGCCGGCCAACAGCCGCACCGCCGTCACCGCGGCCTCCTCGACGGCCGGCGGCGGCGCGTCCCCGCCCAGCGCCGCCAGCGCCGCCAGCTGCAGCTGCTTCAGCTGGCGGCGGCAGTTGGGCCCGGCCGCCTGCTGCAGTCGGTGCCACTGCTCGCCGGCGCATCTGCCGATGGGGGACACGGGTGGGCGTCAGTGGTGTCGAACTGTCGAATGCACACCAAACAGCCGTACCGCCAGCGAGTCCGACCCAGGACAACTTCCTCAATACCTGTCAGCTACAAAAATGTCCATTTCGATCGTAAACTGATGCTTTGATTCCACTTAATTGTTGTTAATACGGCCGATGTAAGAGATCAAGTGGTCGTAGACTACATTAAAACGTATAAAAAAAATTGTGAAACTAAGGAATGCCCAAGGACGTTTTCGAACCGACTTGTATTCAGTTTTGTTGTTCGCTAGCCTGCACTCAGTAGACCGTGCGGCACTACCTATGAATTACGACGAACTAAAAGCAAATTCAATTATGAAAATGGCTTATTTGGCGCAGCTTCGAAATGCAATCGAGCTACTGCCAAGATGCTTCGATCACATCAGTATCGTTCGTACAAAGTTCGTTCGTGTTATTTATTCGTTACATGACAATATGAAAGGGCGGCCAGGGCTCTAGGCAGACCGCGCAACATTGCCGTTTATGCACTTGCATACAATCTTATTATCTCTAGTAGTAAAAGCTGGCTATAGCGACAGCAGGGAGCAGCATTCTCGAAGCATGCTATGGCTCTCGCACACCCAAACCAGTCCATGAGCACAACAATTATCCAGCACTGTGAGCTGCTTCCTTATTGACCACATGGCCGGCATTGTATGATGGTTTGCGCATTCAGCAGACCTGCAGCGCCGTCCCACGAGTCGGGCGGCCGGCAGCCGCTGGTAACTCAGTTCGGCGCCGGGCCGTTCGGTCACAGACCGTTCGGGTTGGTTCAGGAGAGAGCCCGTGTCCGAGAGCCCGGTTGGACCATTCAGCAGTTTCGCATTGCCCGCATCTGAGGGACGGCTCAGTAGTTGGGCTCAGTAGCTGGCCTGGGCGGCCGTCTCCTGCTGAAGTGCCTGCTCGGCGCGCCGACACTCCGTCGTGATGAACAGCAGGTCCATAAGCACCTCGCGCACCCGTCCCAGCTGGGTGGTCGGCTCGTGACAGGCCACCGCCTCCTCGGGCCCCAGGCTGCGCGCCTGGTGGTACCGGTTGCACAGCTGGTACAGGTTGTGGATGGCCATCTTCACCTGGCCCAGTAGCAGCGTCTTTTTGGCGGCGGTGTTTTTGATTCTGGTCCAGGTGTTCTCCCAGCTGACGACTGCCTGCTGGGCGCGGTCGTAGCGCGTCTGCAGCTCCGACAGCCGGTTGTTGAGGCCCAGGATCTCAGTGTTGCGGTCCTCCGAGTAGGCGATGAGATCCATGCGCGCCGCCTCCACCAGGTCCTGGTTGGCCTGCTCGTTGGTCATCAGATGCTGCTTGGTGGCGAACAGGATGTCGTACCGGTTCATGATGTCGTGCACCTCCTCAAAGTCCTCAGTCGATTCCACCGCACGTTCCATGAAATCCTGGAACGGCTTGTTGCCGTCCACCCGCTCCTGGATCAGCGCCTTCGAGTCATTCAGTTTCTGCAGGTCCTCCGTCAGCCTCGCGATCTCACGATCCTTGACATGCTGCAGATCTCGCTCCTCCTCGACCTTCTTCAGAGCTCGGTAGCGTTTCGAGTCGTTCTCCGCCAGGAACTTGTCGAATTTGAGCAGTGACGTTTTGAGCGCTTTGTCTCGCTGCTCCAGCACATCGCGCTCCTCAGAGATCTCCTGCATGCGCTGTTTGTAGTTGGCCTTGCAGCGTCGCAGCTCTGTCTCCACCTCTGCCAGCTCCTGTTTGCGCGCCAGCAGCCGCGTGGCAGCCGCCAGGTGACAGTCTTCGCGCCGCGGGCGGATCGCGATCTTGTTCTCGAACCGGATACGGAAGTAGTCCTCCAGATCGCGCATCATGTTCTCAGTCTTCTTCATGGTTGGAGTTTGATGAGACGATTTGGGTAAATTTCAAATGTTATCTGTCAATTTTTATTTAAGCTTTTAGTGTTTGTACCGTGGTCGATAAGCGATAATTTGAATCGTAGTTGCTTCAGTGGTGTCCTCAAACGTTCCTTCTCAGCATGTTATTGCGACCCAATTCAGCATCACAGAACAAGTCACGGGCAACAGCCAGCACCAAATAAGTATGCCTTGAAAAAGAGGTCAGCGCTAGAGCCACGCTATAAATCTCATATGCGAACTTCTTGCAGGGGATACCACTGGCTGGCCGTTAGCAGACAAAAGTCAGCGTCACACCGTGACCCAGCGCAGAGCTGCATGGGGACCGCGGACGGACCGGACGCACTGTGGGCCAGTCGGCCCGGATACCGAGACGCAGTAGCGTGGAATATCGATCACACAACGGCGCCGCCGGTCGTCCCGCACGGTCCGCAGCGTCCATAAGTCATAGCAAAACACATTTCGTTGGTTGAGTGTGGTAGTTCGACTTGCTTTATTTAGAATCACCCGATGTGCAGGCTCTCAGCCGATAAACGTGCTGCGCTGCGACACAGTATACCCCTCAGGCGCTCACTGATGACTGACAGCGCCATCTCGGGTCAGAGACATAACCTAACACCGGCTGCTTTTACATGAATCGAATCCGAACGGTAAAATCAGGCGTCGTTTAATTATTCATTTGTTTACATAAACGTCAAAACTATTATTTTCAACCAATTGTTTAATTAAGCCTGTAGGAATATCTTCATTGCCGACACAATACGCCATGTGGTGCGTAATGGGGAACGGCATGAACCTTATCGTTCACAATTAGCCTTTATAAATCAGAGACCACGGGCTTTACGTGTGTGACAATTGATGGGCAAAAAAGAGACGCGACGAGATACTACCATGCGCCCGGTGTGAGACCGTATGGAAACAGGACAACTCTAGACTTCACGTTACTCTGTCCAAAATTCACGCTGTCCTGTCTGTTCCAAAGTTCCAAACAAGTTCCAAACGGCAAAGACCACTCGCACTGTCTCGTCCGCTCCTTGCACCGTCTCCCGGTTGTTCCGTGAATGGCACAATGTATCGCACCGTCTCCCAGTTGCGCCCTAGTCTCTCGTTCATCCCTTTTCCATTCACCCGCCCTGTCCGTCCCACCCATCACATACGCTGCACCCGGTCCCACCAACAGATCGTTTCTATTGTCCCATCCGTCCCACGCACCATTTTAACAGTACCCAATTCATCGCTGATGACACTCACTGTTCCCGTTCTCCCATCTGTCCCAGTGTCCCACCCACTGTTTCCTCTGCCCCACCCGGGACCCACCGTTTCTGTTGTTCGGCTTTCTGCCGGAGCCGGCGGGCCAGGACGCTCTCGGCGGCTGCGGCGCCCTCCGGCGGCGGAGCGGCGCGGCGCGGACAGACGTCGGTGAACTGGCGCAGCGCCGCCGACAGCCGCGGCGGCTGGCCCTGCGTCGGAGCCATCTGACCGCAGCGGGACAGAAGCTGTCACACAGTGTCATAGGGGGGTACAGGGCAACAGTGTGAACCAATGAGCTCATGATCAAGTGGTCATGTAATCATTGATCGCATTTTTGGGCACCACTGATTGATTGCCTATGAAGATAACAGATGCATGCTCATAAAGATTATTGTGACTTACCTGGTACAAAGGGTTGAATGGCTACAATGAAGCCTAGGAAAACATGACAAATAAAGGGCTCTATCAGTCTCAATTCATTCTGTCATCCTGCAATTATTTAAAACTATGCCAAAAGGGAGGTTAGTAGCAGGATAAATAACTTTTCATCTCATTTGAAGGACAAGGACTTATAAAATACTTCAAGGATCATCTAAGATATGTACATCACCATATTTTCTGGGCTTTATCAATTTAATTAAACCTGTTCAGTTTAGTGCCAATCAAGTTCAGCTACTTATTCACACAAATATGTGTGCATTTGTCACCTCAGGAACCGTTAGTAAAAGAAATTAGGTAAAAGACAAATAAATATACCGCATAGTACATTGTTATGGCCTGTGATGTTATTGAATGTCACCTGAATTATTATAAAAAGGGAATGAAATGGCTCTAAAATGAATATTACAGAGTACATATATCAAAACATGTTCATGTTGTATTATGGTATCAATTAGCCACAATACCTTATTAATCAGGATCTTGAGGAAAAAGCTGCTGTGCAAAGGCAAAAGCTACTATGCTGGGTCAGAGGTAATGTTGGGCCAGAGGTTGGGTGACCCAACAAGTCTTTGCCAATTCATGGCAGAATGATAAGTATGTGCTAAAAGGTATGACATTGTAGAGCAGAAGAAGACTTTTACCTTTTGCCTTACCTACTTTAATTTACTGGATCCAGAATTAAGGAAGGTTTTGCCAGTCAGATCTGAACCTCTCATTGATAAAACTTGTTAACAAAGGGGGATAGGACAACAGACCAGAAAGAGGCAGAAAGTACATCCCAGTAAGAGCAAAGTGGCACATACATACTGTGTAACATGATAATCAGTAAAACAGAAATGACCACCACATTTAACTTATTCATCTGAGGCCAGTTTCACCAACAGAAAACCTGCAAGCTGCCTATACCAATACCTTAAATTCTTCCTCCCCCAATCCTGTCTTGTCTCCCTCAAGTTAAACCAACCACTTTGAAAATAGTGATGTGAAAACACAAAACAAGACAGACTCATTTATGCTGCTTTTCTCGGTAATAGTAGAGCAAACGTCACATGAAGGTTTTGGTTTACCAACCAAGGAGAGGCGAGATACCCATACCCGGAGCTGCTTCTTTCTAACAAAACCTAAACAAACCTAACCTAACCTGACCTTACCTTACCTACATCCTACAAATCTACAACCTGAAAACCTGCATCCTACAACCTACAAACCTCCTCAGCTGGAAAACCGTCGTGTGACTTCTGCTCTGCTAATGCCCTTTTCTAATCAACAACTTCTATTTACAGTGTGGATGGCAAAATTTGGGGATACCATCAGACAAAAAATAGCCGAAGTTGGTGACATTCTGACTCCTGTCAGAGAACCTTTATCTGGCTTTTGAACTACTTCATTTTTCTCTATATCTTAAGTGAAAAAAACATTTATCACAGCAAGTTGTTTCATAATGTAGGTAGTAACAATCCAATGCAAAAGACATTGACATGTCATTCTATCAAAATCTAAATTCATTAATTAAGATTAATCAATTACTCACTGTCACGGTCCGTGGACTGGAGCCATGCAATTCAATTGTTATTGTAGGTGATTAGATACTAACCTTGAACCAAAGAGGACAACGCCCTCAAGCTGCTTGAAAGGCAATATAACAGATAAGCCCTTGCTTTACTTTTGGCTTTAAAATGAAAGAAATTACGGATAATCACAACTTAGAACTCGGACGAGCGGCAAATGGCTTTGCGGCATGCGGCGAATTTGTTGACATTTATACGCTGTCACAGGTGCGTCAGATTTGAAAAAACAGTAGAGATGGCCAAATAACACAAATAGAGGTGGCCAAAGAGGGTTTCCATCGATCCAGTAATGAGTACTTCCAGTAATGCCGATACGAAGTGCCCAGCTATATCAATATGTCAGGGTTGTAAATTAAATTGCAACAGGTCATTGACTGCAAAACAAAAAGCAGAGATATCTCAATCCTTGAAATACGGATTCCAATGACAATATGTGTTGTAGATAGGTACGCGTCGGGCACTGTACGAAACGGAGTTTCTGAAACGTTATGCAACAGGCGGGCACGGCAAATTTCGGCTAAATCCCCGACAATGCGGCCAGCTTTGATTTCAGACAAAGCATATTCTTTAAATTACGGTTTGAACCTCACAAACAAGACCTAGCCTTATACCTACTCAGGGACAGGCAATAAAATTATTTTGAAAAAAAAACATCGTCAACATCATTTTATATTCAATGCGGCATATGAGACATATTGTTCAACACAAGTGTCGGAGGAGTTGTACATGAGTCGGTGAAAAGCAGGCAATGGACTCAAGTTGACGAGGCCGCGAAAAAAAACTGAGACCATGGAAAAGGCCAGGACCTCCAACCCGGCAGATCTACTCATCTACACATATGCCACAGTTACACATCATTCACTAGGTACTAATTCTTATCATCCCCCTGTGGAAATTCGATCTCGCACAAAAGCACACAACCGCGCAGGCGACACACCCATTCCAATAGATGACGTCACGGCAGTCCCAGACGGGCAGCCGTGACAAGACGTGATGAAGTCTGCGATGACACCCCCAGACAGAGCTGAACGCAGAGAAATATGACCACCAATCGCAAATTTGCCCACACTCTCAGCCCTCAGGCGGTCTTAAAGTTTTTGGGTCCTTGATTAGGCGTTGTTTTGCTCGGTGATCGCCGGATACACATACGATGAGTGCCATTTTCCGGACGCGGGTGTCTGGACGGCTCGGCAGGTGGGCGGTGGGCCCGCGCGGCCGTCCGGCGCTCACTACAGGTCCGTGGTGGACGACGGCAGCGCGTGCTCCGACCCGTCGTCGCAGGACGGCGGCCGAGGACGGGGCCGCGCGGCCGCGCCCCACGGCGCCGGCCCGCCGCCGCCGCCGCCGCCGCTGGGCGCCCGGAGCAGGCTGAGCGCCACAGAGTGCCGGGGCAGCGGCGGCGGCGCGCGGACGGCCGGCGACGCGCGCGCCGCCTACTGCACGGCCGGCGAGACCGGCGCCGGGGAGGCCTGCGCCGGCGGCTGCGGCGAGGCGCCCGTGCTCGGCGACGGCACCGGGGACGAGCCGACGGCGGCCACGGCCGGCGGCGCGCCGCCCTGCGCCAGCACCGCCTGCGCCTGCTGGCGCGCGCGGAACTCTGCGGCGCGCAGCTGCTCCATGTGGAACTGCTGGCGCTCCTGCAGCAGCTGCTGCCGCTGGTACTCAAGCGTCTCGCGCTCCTTGTCCATCGTCGTCTCCAGCTCCTCGAAGTGGCGCAGCTTGATCTCCAGCTTCTTCATCTGGGTCTCGACCAGCTGTGCCACCAGCGACTTGATCTTGCGCTCCTCCACGGCCGCCAGGTGCTTGGCCTTGATGGCGGCGGCGCTGAGCGCGGCGGAGGCGGCCGTCTGCAGGCTGGCGTCCTTCACCAGCCGGTCGCGCTCCGTCTCCACGCGCGCCACCTCCTCGGGGGTGGG